GCAAAAACATTCACATGCAAAACGTGTAACAATTTGTTGGTTTTACATAAGAGGGCGCTGGGCAGAAATAGAACTCGTAACCGTAAGCGTAAACAAACGCGAAATCAATTAAAAGCAAATTAATTTCAAATAAAGCTGGCTAAGGGGAAAAATTCCACATGTGCTGTAAAATAATCCACAGATGTAACTTAGATGGCAGTATTATTCTGGAATTGGTTTTGAAGGAAATTCACATTAACTTTAATTAATTTTAAAATTTCCCAGAGCAGTAAGCCATTCTTAATTATAGCTTTATCACATTGTTTTTATTTTTATTTTCACTATTAAAGTAATCCACTGTTTATCTAAAATCGGAACATTTCGAATTTTTAATTGTAACATGTTTTCATTTACCAAGTGTGATATTTTCCCCGTGTATGTGCCTATTACGACTAATTAATACAGGCAGTGTTCATGCATTTATTCCATTACTTGGCTGCTATTCACCTAAAAACAACAATAAAATATAGTGGGTATAGTAGGTCTATGTAAAACATTTTCTTGTTTGTCCAGCTGCGGGCGCACGTGTCGTTGCCCCTGTCCCTGTATTCTCGGCGTTTTTATAAACATTTCTCGAGATTTCTAATCTACATAACAACAACATGCAGGACAGCCACAATGGCAAGATAGAAGTATCAGCAGCCCCAACAATCGCAATTTGTGTTCAAATATATTATAGCTCTCAGACCCGTTCCACTTGAATATGTTGTTTAGGTTTAATTTCAGATTATTTTCGTTTTTATTTCTATTTTTATTGGGTTAGTTCATTCTTATCACGGGTTTCTTTATTTTTGTTCGTTGTCATTTTATTGCTCTTGATTTCACCTCGACTTTGAAATCGAAATTGCGCCAGCTGATAAGAAGATAACTGTTATTTCCCCCCGTTTTATGGATTCGACTTGGATTAGCCGAATTAATTGGTTTATTCTTTGTATTTTTTGTACTATGTCTGTGCTTATATTTTCTATTTTTCAACCATCAATTAGGATGAACACGCTCTATCTAACGCACACCCTTTTTTGATTAGCCCTTAGTTGGTCTGCTGATCGCACCAATGCCGTTCGCACTTGGCCTAATTGAAGGTGCAAATTGCATGAGCTGGTATGTGTTGCCTCACGATTATTTAAAGTTGCTATAAGCATTGGAGTGATGCGTTGCTTAAGCCACTGTGGTGTAAGCTCTTTAAATAATTTCATGATCACATAAATCCAACTAAAAAACCAATCTGGAACTTAGTAGAACCCCAAACAACTCAAATAAATGATCATATTTTTAGGTCAGCTGCGCAAATAAATAACTGAATCAAGTTCTAGCAGAAATAAAAGCATTCAATTATTCGATTTTCGCCACGGACTCTTGACCTGAAAAAGTTTTCTAAATGTATAATTTGTCTAATAAATTTTGCGAACGATTGAACATTGCTTTGTTTGAATAAAATTAAACAAGATTGTTTATATTTTTCCATTTATAAATTTACATAAATATCCGGTTTATGAAAAAAAAATAACACAATTGGTAAGTGTTTCCATTTCAACTGTTTGTTTAGTTTATATTCACTTAACATTCCATTTCATTTTTATCGAGCCCATTCCACTGTGGATTCTTTAGTTGCCTGCCAAAGAAACGTATCTTTCAAATAGTTTCACCAGGCCTGGCAGTTGTAATTGTTGTCGCTTGGGGTTTTCCTCCAGCTTTCGTGATTAAGCTTTGGTCATGCAACCGGGGTAAACAGAAATGCACACTGAGCTAGGTAGATAAACCTACCAAAGGGGTGTGTGCTATTGGAATTACACAAGAAAACGCGAAAACAATCCACAAGTGCTGGGACCTGTCACACTAATTCGACTTCTTTTCAGTTCTGTTTACTATGTAATATGAAAAATAAACTATTTCCTCAACGGTTGCATTGCACTCCACCGCTGATTGCATTGCATTTCGTGGAAATTTACCGGCACACGTAACGATTTCGATTAACAACACGTGACCGTAAAAACGTCGGACCATGTGAGCAAGTAAATGTATTACAAGACCGATAAGATTGGCCAGAGGGCGGGGTATTATGTGGCACATGAGTAACTCGAGCCAGTTAATGTTTCTTTGCACGTGCCCCCATCTTGGCGTATGTGTAATTTTTGAACGGGGCGTATACGTAACGCCGTGCAAGGCGACACCAGGTGCACGTGCCGCACTGCAATTAAACCGAGAGATCGTCAAAATGCCGAAACCAAAACAAAAACAAGCTCTACACTTATGCAAGAGACCAGTGCCCAATTGGACACGTTTAAGTCATTCGTCATCGCAGATCACGGATCACAGATTCGGTGCCTACGCTGTATAGAGTGCGGCTTACGGCTTACGGCCCGTGCCATTGTGTTGGTGTGACCTTTAGGGGCGGCTAAAAATAGCCAAGAGCCATTTAAATACAATCAACACACTGGAAAGCCCAGCACAAAAAAACACAGTCAAGTCTCTTTAAATTGAACTCCGTTAATTTGTAGTTCTTGTAACTCAAATAAATTGAGAGAAAACAGTTTTTATAAAAATATTAAAATAAAGTCTATTCAGTTTTTATAAGTAAGAGCAGTTACAAATAGTTTAATTTACAATATTTTTAATTTATAAACTATTAAAAAATAGTTGCTATTTATAAAATTTATATTATTTTTCTATCTCAATACTAGTAAAATAAGATAAACTAAAAAATAAACTCTTTATTTGGCAAATTAAATTACTTAGAATATTAATTCGAGCTATGGAGTTTGAACTGTATAAATCCGAATCAACTGCAAAACACAAACAACAGCGTTTTGTAAATGCGAAAACATTTCAACAACACGTGACCAACAACAAACTTAAGTGCGGCACTGGTGTGTGTAAATGTGCGAAATGTGTGTTTGTTTGCGTGAAATCGCTGACATGCTCGGCTCGCGTGAGAAATTACGTCATGCGCCACGAATTTTGAGTAGTTATTTATTATTATTTTTTGTGTTTGCCACTTTCAACGTGTCTCGATTAAAAACGAAAAGCTGGCTGGAATGAGAGGGGGCCAACGTAGCGTATGATTATTATTTCGTTTATTAAAGCTCGACAACAACAAAGCGACTGTTGCGCTCTGTAATAAAAACAAAATGTCGGCCGAGTATTTAGTTTGTGTGTGTGTGTTTGCTTCGTGATTGTTGTTGCCAAGCGGCGGCTATCAGCTATTTCTGTCACTCTCTTTTTCTCTCTCTCTCTCTCTCTTTCGCAGCCGCCGCCCAGTTGACTTCGCCGTTTCGCTTTGGAATTTGTCACGTTCACGTGTTTTATTATATTCCGTCGACTTTTGTTGTTGCTGCTCGCCTTGAGCTTCTGCGTCGTTGTTTTCTCGATACATATATTTATTTTTTTTTTTTTTTTGTTTCAGGTTTTTTCTTTGTTGAAGACTCACTGTAACGGTAGGTTTAAGGTAAGTTGTACTTAAAAACATATGATGCACTTAACCACAACAATCGGATCGGTCAACTAAATGCTTATATATATATGTATGTATACATGCGTATGTACATAATTCGCACGCAACTAATTTATGCCTATCTTGCAACAACAATAATAATGGTCTAGGTTGTGTAAGTGCCGTGAGTGTAGTTCGTGTTGTCTAGTCATCAAGCCCCCAAATGTCGGCACAGTGGAGCTGGTGGTTTTGGAAAATACTCTCTTACAGGGGATCGGCAGCTTTCATTCTAAGCCGAACTTTTTTTTTAGATTTCAATCTGTGGAGCTCTGACTTCCTTCGTAGACGTTAGCAGCACTTCGATTTCCAGATTTTTCTTAGGGTTTTAAATCTTCAGAGAGGTTTAAAATTATGTTTTCGTATTAAAAAAATTATTAAAAACAAATTTTGATAAAAGCCTGTTTCAGCTTAAACAGCCCCACGGCCAGATTCCGCGACAAGGGAAGTGCGGTATACCGCTGACTGCTAAGCTGAAACAGGCATTTATCAAATTTTTTTTGGAAATATGTTTGAAAATATACACTAAACATTGCTTAGTCTTCAACAACAAACAAAAGCAAATGGGAAATCTGCCAAATTGAGCAATCTTTTTAGGAAATCCTTTGGGCAACCTCCCAGTGGGAATTGGGGCCAAAGAATGTACGATTCAGTCCCACTGTGGCAATCACGTTCGCCGCGCACGAAATAGAAATAACGAGATAACGCTCTTCCTCTCTAGGTTTCTCTCTCCGACAGGCACGTCACTAATTTGGCGTTGGCGCTCTGCTCTCTCGGCTCTTTTTTTGGGGTCTCGTGCCGCCCTGCGAGTTTTATTCATTCATTTCGATTTTGTCTCTGGCCGCGAACAGACGTTTGGAAAGTGTCCGCGGTGCGGGTGACAGTGCAAAAATTAAATAAAAGAAATAAACCAAAAAAAGAGGGAGAGAGCAAATAAAAAACAGCAAAATTAGCTGGAGGCGCAACAACAAATTTTCTATATACATATATATGTACGTGCTTTAATAGTGAAACACGCACACACGCACTCACGTTGTTCGCTCGGTTATATGGATCTGTGTGTGTGTATATAGGCGGCTGGTAAAATTCCACTGTAAAACAAAAGGAAGTTATTGTTTTTGCGGCTGTGTGTATATTAATAAAACAAATAACAGTGTGTGCATAAAATTCGTAGAAGCTAAAAACGTGTAAACAAAAAAGCGGGCAGGGTAATCACGTTTTTCGACATTATTTGTTTTTCTTTGTTTTTGTGGATCCCGCAAAAGAGAGAGAGACCGAGAGAGAGAGATGCTCCAACAAGTGCACTTTAATTGAAGCTCCAAAAATAGAAGTACAAAAAACTGGAAGAGAAATAAACGCGTTATCGCTATCGTTATCGCACCCACACAAACATACGCATCCAGTGATAAGCGGAAAAGAGTAAACAGGCGGTACACTCGTGTCAGCATTTTTCACCCGTTCCAACATAAATAAACTCCAATGTTCGTAATGTCATTCTAAATTTTCGAAACAAATCCGGGACGTACAAAAAAAAAAACAGAAAAGTGAAGTCGCCGTGCAGCGAATTCGCCGTCTCGCCGACTCGACAACCTGTTTGCTCGGCCTCAAATTCGCCCCGGCATTTATCTCACAATTATTTCTGCATTGACGTAAGAAGGAGCACTTCCACCATTCCACCGCAACTGCAGCAAACCACGTCGACGCAGCAGCCGCAGCAGCAGTCGCAGCAGTCACACCACAAAATAGTCATATTGCCCAGGAGCGGACTCGGGTGCGAAGCAGGAGGAGTAGGAGTCCGGAGCGGATCGGGGAGCGGATCGAGGAGCAGGAGCCCCGTCACCATGGAACCCTATTGGAACGAGTCGAACGGACATGCCGCCCATCCGGTTAAGTATGAGAGGTAGGTATAATCAGCACAGATCACCAGATCCCGCTGCCAGTCAAAAACCAAAACGAAGACTAAATCGAAACACTCACTTTCACCTCCGCGCGTTTAGCTTAAGGACACAGAGAAAAAATATCACGAAATTGTAACACAAGGTCGAAAGACCCCCAACAAGTTTAAATATCACTTAATTTTATTAAAATTTAGTTTTGCTCAACAAATTCATAAAAATCGTTTTATAAACTTTTTAGTGTAAAAATCCATTTATTTGTGGACATATTACAAATTATTTGTGTTTCCTTGGCTTTTAGAATGTTTGGGAAATAATTTAACTAATAGCGAAACAAATTTAAATGAATCTTTTAATATTTTTTCTCTGTAAATTAAATAAAGGATAAGTGTATCTTAAACTCACATTTAGTGGTTAAGCCTAAGTCTCCGCCTCTCTATATATTGTTCTTGTTTTGTGCGTGCATGTCAGGATCGGGTGTGGACTATTTGGATCGTGTGTGTGTGTGTGTGTGTGAGTGTTGTGTGGGCCGCGTATTTTTAGCCGCCGAGCTAGAAAGCAATTTGCATTTGCAAAACAAACGCGAAAATCGGGCGAAGAAAACGTGGGCAGACTCTGTCGCCGGGCTATTCTTGGCCGAGATGGGCGCTTTAGTTTTGCTTTATTTCATCTTTATTTTTTTCGTGTTTGCCAAAAGTCAAAATACAAAACAAAATCCAACGCACGACTCGCCAAACGTGATGTTTCGTTGATTTTCCCTGTGAGTTTCTTCCCCTTTCCATCGGCATTGTATTTTTGAACTTGAATTTCGTTTAAACGTGTCCGAGTGGTATCGAAAAAAATGTGCGTCGGTGTGGCCAAAGTGGGGATAAATAATCAAAGTGGAGTGGTGTGGCCAGAGTTGGCAATAAATATTATAAGCGATGGGGGGTTTACGCCTCTTTGCTGAATGTCAACGGCCAAAACGTGGCTATAAATACCAGTTAACAACAGCGTGGGACTATCCCCCAAGCTACTCCACTGATTGGCCATCAAGAGGGTGGAATGGGGTGTTTTTCACGTGCTTGTGTTTCTTTGGGTGGCCTGTGTCCTTTTGAAGGTCAATAAGTTTTGTGCTTGGGTCATGTTTCTATTGGTTTCGTGGCTGTGTTTTTGATTGAGACTTTTTTTTTTGGCTATTTTAGTATTCAGTGACCACCGGAGCTCCTGGGAACGTTTTTCTCTATAAATACACAAGGGCTAATCGGATGAACACTCATTAAATATGCAGGTCCCAATTTGATTGGCCTCAGGTTTTGTTTTCGTTACGTTTTCGGGTTTTTTCCAGTTCATTTTTGGGTTTCGGTTTCGGTTTGGTTTTTTGTTTTGGGGGGGAAAGTTAGATATAATTACGTATACGTCACGTGTACCGTTTAATTATACGTCTGGCCGAGCTAATTGACTGAAAAATAGCATTAATGACCTGAACTGGTTCATATATATTTTTAATCTTAGCACGAGTGATCACCGCTGAAAAATAATCAAAATAAATATTATAAATTCGGTTTGTCCCCGCGGTGGACTCCTTATCAAATGGCACTCGGGGTAAACACGCGTCTTCGTCTTCGTCGTGGCTGAAGTGTTTATAATTTGCATTACGCGCTGCCATCTTAATCAACACCAAAGTCAGTCATAAAAGCGAAAAATAGCAGAGAGAAAACACAAATAGAGATAAGCAAACACGCGATAAAAAGCGAAACGGGCGTGACGCACAATCGCCCCTCCAAAAGTATCTATCTATAAGCACATGTGTATCTATCAAGTGTCCAGAGTTGTCAAGCGTCAGTGAGATCTCGGGTTTGTTGCACGACGAGACAGTTGCTAAATCCCCACGAGAAAACAAAATACACCCACAACCCCATTTAATACTCAGCTGTCTCTCGTTGTTTTCGATTTCGGGATCTTGACAACGACGCCATCGATCTGAAGACCCTGACCCAGTGATAAGTGATACTTACAGCCCAAACCCAATGGAAACTCTACCTGGATCTCTGAAAAAGTGTGTTTGTTTGCTGGCTACGTCTGTGTTACACGAATCCGAAATGGATTTCCTGTAGGCTTACCAACTCACAGATGTTCAGCAAGACAACACGTCAAAAAAAACTTCAAGGAGGATCTACGAAGATTATATAGAAACTAGAAAATACGATCGAAAGAGTAGAAATGTTTAATACCAAATAACAAGCCATTTATTATTTTAAATTTTTGGTTTATACTCTTTTTTTTGGTTAAAAGACCTGTTAAATTAACCTTGTCAAATTTATTTATTTATTAGTTTCTTAAACCCTTATTGTCTTAAAATATGTAAAGGCGGTTAAATGTTTCGATGAAAGTTAAATAAAATGTATTGTATAAAACATTAATTAACGGTGAAATCCCATATGAATACAGTTGTTTTTAATTTATTCGCTCTTTCGATTGTGTTTATCACCAAAACAAACAACAAACGCCTGCAGCACGATATAAATAGCCGATCGGAGTGTTATAAATTATATGGCAGATATATATCCGCCTGCGTCGAAATTGTTAACGATCCTACCCGATCTCGATCCGATCCGATCCGCAACGATCCGTTTCGTTCCGCCGCCGGTCTTATCGTCATCATCATCGTCCGCTCGGTTCGACGTCCATTGGCATTTGAGAAGTGGGCACGTAGACGTTCACGTTCCATGCAGGCTGACCCCCTATAAACCCATCAACAAATCCCCTGGTAACCCCCCTAAAACCTCTCTTCAACTCACGGGCGGCAAACGTGCCGCAGATATTGTGAAATTCACATAGTATATATATGGTATGAGGTGGATTTTCGTGGCTGCCGTGATTAATGCACTCTGCTCGTAGTGTTTTTTTTTTGGGTCCGCTGACTCATGACCACTGCATTTGATTGCCGCTAAACGATTTAAATAGATGGATTTGAGTGTCTTTTGACCCAGTTATGGCGAGCGCGGTCATTCATTTCTGTTGGGGAATGCGGATGGCGATGGGAAAATAAGCCGGAGGGGGATATGAAAATAGTTGCAGATCTTGGATGCCTGATTAGCGATGGAATTTGGAGCGTACATGGGGAAATTTGTATTAACGCATGTGTTTGCATGTGTTAATCTGGTAAAAATACCAATAAATAAATGTAATTTGTATAACTTTTCGTCATCTCTTAGTTCTATTAGAAAATAGTATAATAGTTTCTGAAAAATAAATGATCTGCTTGATAATAAAATATATACGCCCCATGGGAAAATTGTCTAAAAATACATGTTGAAGTATGGAAAATATTCATATTGAGTAAATCACTTACATATTTAAAGTTTAACTTTAAAATTTTTCTTAATGAAACAGTTTTGTTACTAACTTGGCTATGTATGGCGCACATTGCTATCTTTACTAACCCTAAACAACAGATTACAAAAACTTATACGAGGATTTCATAAATCAGCTCTGTTTGTGATTCACTTTCCTTGGAACAAAGACAGCTTTATCTCATCACCAGCTTGATAGGAGGTTTCCATTTGCACTTTTCCAGCGTATCTTGCAAATTCGTGGAAGCAGCAGTATGCGTAACAAGCCAAAGGCAGCCGCCTCCAATTGGCCTCGCATGGCTCCCGGTATTTGTATCTACTTGTATGTTTGTATACTGTTTACTCGTGTGATGTGTATCTGTATTTTTGTGAGCTGTATCTGTTTATACTCGCATTGAATTGTGTTTCGCCTAGACAGCACGCCAGAGAGCAATTTGCCGGGGATTGTTGCCCTCGATTTCGATTCCATTTGCAAACCCAATCCCAAACACCAAACCCCGAACTGTTGCCAAGCAATCCATCCGGCACGTGTACACGTTTGTGTATTGGTAATGGCTGAAATACGAAATTGTTGCGAATCGAATTCCGCTGGTGCAGCAACTTTTTCTGGTCTTTGCACTTTGGCCAAAAACAATTATATCACGTGCCCGGTCAGTCGTAGTTTTTGTTTCTGAATATTTATAAGGCAGTTCCAGTTCGCGGATCTCACGTGATCGTATCGCTCACCTGGGCACCAGATGCGCCGCTGCACTTTCAGCGTAATTGATGCTAATCTAGCCGACTGTGTTCGTGATATATGTACATACATACCTTATCAGCCGACCGACGAACTCAAGGTCGTCGTCGATCAGGCGAGAACCGGACCAGTCCAGTCCAGCCCCGCCCACTTTTGTTAATTAGACAAGGGAGACTCTTCTTGGTTTGATTTATTTTTCTCTCCTCAAGCTTGGCGTCATCGTTTGCCGTTTGTTGTTTTCGGTTGTTTTCCACTCTCGCCCCCGGAGATTTCACAATTCGAGGCAGCCGTAGAGCATTTCCATTGCTCAATGTCGATATGGAAATTTTTGTGACACAGATCGGCTGCGGAAACTGTTGGCATTGAATGCCTCGATTGGCCACCGTAAACATGTGAGTTGTGTAAATAAATACACAGGGAAAAATGTTATTAGTAAGTGATTTTTTCACAAACAAATAATCTTTTCGATTAATTTGTAATGACTTCTTCTATTATCTTCTACCAGGAAAACAATTTAAATGTAAAAACGTAATATCGTTAAAATAAATTAACAAGTTTGAGATATGTTTCTTTTTCTGTATATTTGGGCACGACATAGGCATTGTTATGCTCTTAGCGTCGGCAAAATTTTTATGAATCACTTGCGCCGTTTGAATGAGTCAACAGTGAATAATATTTGCTGTTGATTGACATCGGATTTGGAGACGAAGATATGGCAGATTAACATTATTACAGTCTTCTTAGGTGCTTGCGGATCATAATCTAATCATAACTTACTTTTTCACAAATGTTTTGCTATTTTTTTGAACTGCGTTGGGGCGGCCTCAAAGATTAAACCGAAAATAACAAGTTGTATTCGGCTTATATCAGTTAGCGCATTTATTTATGGGCCCAAAAATGACCAACAAAATGACAGAAAAACCGAAAAATATAATAGAAAGACGGTCACGTGTAGCGAGCAATCTAATCTAGAGGGTTTAATTACCCCTGATAAGGGCAGGAAATGGTTAGACACAAACAGGAATATCAATGGACAAGTTCAACGATATTAGTCGAGCGTGTGCATATTCTATTATACTTTACTATGCCAGCACATGGGGGTAATTATCACCAACTCATGCGTAGACAAACGTGTCAGAGGCGCTCTAAATAATAACAGGAGGATCCGGATCGGGAATGCTGTCCATGCCTTTGGCAGCCGACGGCGACTGATCGCGAAATTGTCGTCATGGCAGGGTCGCGGACTACCTGTAGATCTCACCCTCGTATTTTTGTGCCAATTACTTAATAGTGCGACAACAAAAACGGCATGAAAACGTAAACAAACGTAAGACATTTCGGTGGGCCAGCGCCATCCTAACGGGCGGCATTTTGCCAACTTGTTGGGGTCTTCGCCATGGTTCTCATGAATCAAGCGAGTGATTCTCGCTGACGTTCTCCTTTTCTGCTCTTTGGCCAATGATGAAAAGTACGCCACTGAGTACACGCCCTGTTCACGGGATTGTTTGATCGCTATTCGATGGCGCAGCCCCCCAAATTAAACACGAATGATGGCAAACATTCTGAGAAACTTTGTCATCATTGTATATATATTTAAGAAAGTGAATAATTGAAGATTCATTTAAAACTCTGAGAAATAATCAATAATGTATGTGACAGATATATTAAATGTATTAGAAATTGGATTTGTTTAAATATCTGGATATTTATTTTCAAAAAGAGTATATTACCACAATAAGTAATTAATTGTGATTAAGATAGCTGTCAATTATGAACGACTTCTTAATCTTCTTATTAAAACGTACTCAAAACGTACTACTTATTAAAACAACTCAATTAATTAATCATTTTTAGGTAAATATGGACATGAGTGCAGTCAACCTGCAATCCAAGGCGATGCCACGCCCAGTCCAAATCACTTTATTTGCATTACTCATACGCAGTGTGCACTGGTGGCACGATAATTGGCCACGGTTTACAAATCGAATTCAGCAAATTGTGCTAAACGCCGAGATGAAAACAAGTTGCTGGCGCCTTTTTGGTGGGAGGGGCCAGTCGGATAAACAAGTTCTAGGCGCCAGGGACTGGTGCGTTCTGGTATCTCTCACCATATACTAGATGGATAAATCACGCATATAGTATATGATTTGCGTTTGTTTGTGGTCGCCCGCTTATCGCCCAAAGCCATGACACTTATTATTATTTCGCTCTTGCCAGCACTTTATTTTGGTTTTCTAGCGCTTTCTGGTCGATGCTTATGATGTGTTTGTTTTGGTTTTTTACTTCGAGAAATTGGCATTCATTGGGTGGTCTGTCAAATGTAGAATTGTGTGGGACTCTTCGTTTAATTTCCTCTATGGCTCTTGGCAACAGTTCTCATTGTGATTTTGTTTGCTTTACAAAATATGTTCAAGTTTTGCTCAGCTTTTTATTATATTTTTGTTGGCACATGGCAATAAAAACGTGTTGAGTCTAAAATTAGCTGGCCTGATATATGGAGTGGATGTATGAAAAACGTGTGTGGCTCATTCGGGCATCTGGTGGGATAAATTCTGAAAATTAATTAAAAGGCAAATGGTTGTTAAATAGAATTTATTTACGACTGGATTTCCCACCATCGATCCTGACACTTAGTCCCATCAAATGCGCGTGTGTAATTGTGTGAGAGGAACCTCCTGCTTGGAATTGAGCATCCGTTCCGGATATGTACTACTACGTATCGTATGCTAATTGTATTTTAAGGCATTTGCACCTGTTTTACTACAACACAAACCAAACAAACCGCTCGTTTGATTTTAGCCAAGCGACCACAGCCCAAGGTACAGCTAACTGATGGAGAGCTCATTGAGGCACACTGATTGATTTAGCTGATCCAAAGCGATTTCGAGTCGAACCGACAACACTTAATCCTATATACTCTTTGTTCTTTTGCAGGCATAATTTATTTTGATATCGAAAAATAAAATAAATGAAAACAAACCAAAACACATCTAGTTTAAACGCATTTAACTATTAATACTAGACTAATTAGCTTAAGTTACTACTTCTAAGTCAGCCTAAGTTATGCGCCTAATAAATGCATTACTAAAACGAACAAAAATTTGAAAGAAATATTACCACCTGAATGAAAAACAAATACAAAAACAAATAATATAAAACATTTTTGAACAAGATTTGGACTTATCTGTGTTTCTTTATCCTTCCCACTTCTTTTTGCATATCGAAACGAATTATAGCGAAGCAGCTGTCTCCAGTTTTCCTTATTGCACAGAATCTAGTTTAAATTTTTCAACATCAGCCACGGCATACAGCGAGGACGATGCTGAATATGCCACCGGAAGACGTAATAAGACATCGAGGGTAAATATTACAATTTTAGAGCGACCCAAAACTCGCGATCATTTCTGAATTCCGAATCAATTGAAAATAAATCGAAAACAAAACGACTGAGACAAGATCAAAGGATCAAAAGAGCATTAGAGCAGCGCCCGGATGATGACCACGCCCACTAGCTATCACACACTCTCACCCACCACCAACCACCACCACCCACACACACGAGCAATGATCTTGAGCCATGATGCCGCCGCCATCGACGCAGCCGCCACTTTTGACCCTTTTTTATTGTTAGAAAAAAGAAACAAATTTATGAAAGAAAAATAAAGTGAAAAAAATGAGCACCGAAACTAGCGAAAATAAAATGAAACAAAATAGCAAAAGAAAAACGCCTCTCAGCAGAACAATCATTACTTAGGCTAGGGGTCTAAAAAGCCCACTTTCTATCCCCGAAACGGGTCCTTAACAAAGCTCTTTTTCAAGAGATTAACCAGACCATCTTAACAACCTCTGTCCACAGCAAGATCCGTTATCCCATCGAATTATCGAGAAGCGGAGACGAGATCGCATGAACTCCTGCTTGGCGGATCTATCGCGCCTCATCCCGCCGCAGTACCAGCGCAAGGGGCGTGGCCGGATCGAGAAGACGGAGATCATCGAGATGGCCATCAGGCACCTGAAGCACCTGCAGAGCGAGTGCCAGCAGAAGGAGAGCGACTACCGGAGTGGCTACATGGACTGCATGAAGGAGGCGGCCAAGTTCCTGTACGACGTCCACATGCAGGACTTTTGCCACCGACTGTTGGGTCGCCTTCAGGAGCACATCGACGATATGTTCAAGAGTGAGTACATAAATTTAATATGGTGACCCTTACTAACTGGTGTGAATCCCTTTCCAGCGGACTGTTACAAGTCGACGCGCAGCTGTCACATGCCGGATAATGTGAGCGCCTCCAGCGGCAGTCCCCACCAGGCGTACCACCCCCTCTGTGCCACTTGCGTGACATGCTGGCCACCTCCGCCTCGGACGTGGAGCACAGTCAGGACCACAACGATGTCAAGGATCTGAGTTTTCGGAACCATCTCAACCAGCTGCAGCGCAGTCAGCAAGCGGTGGCAGCCGCAGCAGCAGCAGCAGTCGCAGCGGTAGCAGTCGCCAACGGCAATTCGCCGGGTTCCAACGCTGGGCTGGATTCCAAGGTCCCATTGACCAATGGTGGTGGCAATGGTGGTGCGCCAGCGGGTGACAATGTGCCCAGTAATTCCACGGGCATCGGAGCAGCAGCGGCGGCCGGGGGAAATAGCAACAGCAGCGGCAGCAACAGCAGCAATGCGGCTAGCTCCACCACCTGCCCGCCGGCCGGTGGATCCTGTGCCCCCAAAATCACGCCACTGGCTGCGCACCAGCAGCCCCACCAGGCGCCAGTAATAACGTCCACGGCCCCGCATCACCATCTCCACCACACCGACAGCAGTCACCACGACTTTGAGTCGTCGAGGGAGCCGATCCTACACACCGACACCTCCAACATGCACTCGCCGCCGCCCAGGGATCTGCTCCTGCAGCAGCATCCCCATCTGGCCCACAGCCATCACACGCAGGACAGCCTGATGTCCGTGAGGATGCGCAACTACTCCGAATCCTCGCACGAGGTGGAGCACAACAACAACTACAAGTACAAGAACCACATCAAGGAACGGTTTGTCCACGAGCTCCACGACGAGGAGACGAGCAGCGAACACTGTCCAGTGGCAGCCCATCTGCAGAGCGATCACTCCCACTTGCAGGCCTTGTCGGAGCACTCGAAGGATGGCACGGAACCGGAAATAGCCCCGATTATGGCCAAAAAGCGGAAGCTGGCCGAGGCGGCGGCCAATGGGGAGATTCCACTTGAAGTTCACACGGAATCGGGCAGCGCTTCTGCAAGTACGGTCAATCGACTGGACAAACCCTCTCCCTCGTTCAATTTCAGCGACATCAAGGACATCAAGGCAGAGCTGCACAATGGCAACTCTAACTCCAGTCCGCTGTTGGCCAAGTTGAGTGCGGCGGCCGTTGCCGGTGGCCAGTTGAGTACTCCCAGCAGCACCACCGCTCCACTGCCTCCGAGGCACTCCTTTACCGTCCCCATATTTGCGCTCCACGGGCAGGGCAACTACTATGTGCCCCTAAATGTGGACTACAACGCCCTGGTGCCCTTCCTCAACGGGATGGATCTGCTGGAGAAGAGCTACACCAGCATGCCCGTGGTGCACCCCATTAACATCAATGTTAACTTTATGTCCACTTCAACGTCGGCGTCGTTTTTGGCCGCCGCTGCGGCCGCTGCCGTGGCCGTTGGCAAGCAACAACAACAACAACAGGCGACGGTGACCGTCGGAGCGGGACTCCCCCTACCCACAAACCCGGCGGCGGCCCAGGCCGCTGTGGCGGCGGTGGCCAAGGCCAAACTTGAACAGGCCATGCACCAGAATTGGTAAAACAAAACAAAATCAGGCGACGGGTCGACAGATGGAACAACTCTACCTCAGTACTTCTGTGAATAATCATCAAATGATTAATCTCAAAACAAACACACTAAGCGACATCTGCGCCCAAGTTTATATAAAAAAAAAAAGAATATGGAAAGGGAGAAGAAAAAGCTTCATTGGGGGGCTTCTGAAATCTCTGGGGACTTTAAAAATTAATGTCTTTAATTTCCTAATTACCTTTTGCTTAGAAAATATCAAATTTTGTAAAGATTGTTTATCAATGTCGAAGAAACATCTTTTTACTACTTGTTCAGATAATCATATTTTGAAAAGTACAAAATTAAATGTAAAGTACACAAATTCGGATTATGGAAGATATTTTTTAAAGAAATATTTTCCATAATATGTTTTTCATTACTCTATAATAAGTTTAAATACAACAGTGTTAGATATATGTATTTAAACTAGATTTGTAATTTGTAATTAATTCTTATATGTATTTTTGTTCCTTGCTAAAAAAAGTTCTGTTTTAATTTTTAAATAGCAAAATATTAGAGTAAAATGGATGTTTAAATGCACTATAAAGAATGTTGTATTGCTCACTTGAAGAGAGATAAATATTTTAAATTCTCTAGCGATTTCAGAAATAAGCACCCTATTGATATTGGTTTCGTTTGAATAACAGAGGTAGCCAGCAGCCTTTAAGGTTGGGCACCTACTAGAGAAATGATTTCCAATTGGTAAATGACGAGGAGAAAACAATTAGAGTAGCTAGTTGTTAACTATTTTGAAGAAAGCATAAATGTCTATTATAGCGCATGCATTGAAAACTACAAAAAAAACATATATGTCGTGTGCAACTTAATAGAACGTTTATGATGCCAAGAGTCAGTCCCACGTAAGAAATCTAATGGATTTTAAAACAAAACTAAATGTGAATTAAATGTATTTTTTAGAGGTTTAACGTTTTTGCAATTTAAATAAGTGTTGTGGTTTCAAATCAGGTAGTCAGATAGCCAAGTGACTCCCGTCAAACATACAATGTAATCTATATATACAAAACCGATATAATGATAAATACATATATAGTAAACCACTAGTCAGAGAACTTGTACGAAGACGTAAAAACAAACATACAAAATGGGAGAACAACAAATCAAAAAATTATTATATGTATATTCTATGTGTAAATACTTTTAGCAAGCAAATTGTCCTTTGTTTAAGTTTGTATTTTAGTGACAAATTATGTTAAGTTGGTTGGTTAACACGTGAAAAAAACAAAAAAATACGAAAAAAATCCAAAAACTTTTATATTCAAGAAATGCACCATGTTTCATTCTCGAAATGCGGTTCTACTATAGTTATTATTATTATTATTATTACTACTGTCTAACACCTAAGTTGATTGTTTCTTTGTGTTTTCGTTATCCAACAAATTAAATGGAATTTCAAGATTCGGTCACCTGTTTCCAATTTGAGCACCTCGATATTTTTAGAGGAACTTCGGAAATGATTCTTTTTTGTAAGCTAAGCTTCGTTGCGGCTAAACTGAAAGTTGATAGCACAAAGATTATTAATGTTTTATGACTCTTATTAATGTGTACGATTACTTTTACTGTACGGTACTGTTAATATAAAACTACGTTACTGTTTAATATATTTTATAAATGTATACAGATGTAATAAATATTTAAAAATTTAAATGCCATTTTTTATTAGCTTCATGTTAGGTTAATAGTTGTTGATGGTAACAAATATTTTATTTATTTTAACTTTTTCCTGGGTCCTAATGTTTTTCTCTTGAAGAACTTAATTATTTGAAAGGCAGTTGAATTGATGTTAATCGAGCTTGGAAAAGGTATTAATGGTTGATTTACAAAATATCTTGAAATAAATAACGTATTTTCAGGCGATTAAGTAAGTGCAACTCTATATTGATGCTGCTTATTGAGTTTATTACAAATCAGAATGCGATAATAAAGCGCCCTTAAGTTGCTTTAGTGGTCGGACATTTATTGTGAGTTGAGCTGTTCCTAAAAAACGTTGGTATAGCGGACAACAAAAGTTGTAAATTAAAGTGAGAAACAATGAAATTTGTTCTAGTTAGTATCCTTGTGATCGGCACCGATCCTATGGATATTCAAAATTGCGATTATTTTGATACAGTGATTTAAAGGAGTCGAATGGTTATATCAATATTTTAAATATTTTGAATACGAGATTGAATACGGCGGATTAAGGAAACGGTTCTAATCACACAGGTTTGATTGCTTCGTTATGTGACCTATTTTACCTACGAAAGCATTCTAAATATAACACAAATCAATAGGACAGTGACAAAGAAACATATTTTAAATGACATGGTTGTGCAGCAGGATCTTCCCCTTCCTTGCGCGATGCATTACTCACTGTATGCAGAAGAATACACATATGATAAGTGGTCCCTATACGAGGTGAGTTGATTTTAATACAGTATTTCTCAAATGAAGAAAAAAGCTTTTCCAAACAAACGAATAGCTCCAGAAAAGTTTCTACATTTTATCGATCACTATTCAATTTCTTACTATCATCAACATTTTTACTTTATTTAAAACCATACTTTCAGAATGGATCCCTATTTCGGCACTATGATAAACGACATCTTTCGAAGCAGGAATTTTGTTTGCAACCAAATTTGACGAGTACCGGAAAGAACTACTATCTAATTGTTGCCTTTAACTGCATTCAAAAACGGCCAATGACTATGGCATATGGTAGGTTTGGAAACTTTTATGTTTGATGGGGCTTATAGAGACTTCGCCTTTTAGTTAAGTCATGCTCCGTCTTCTTTATGGCCATAACAATTGCGGCCTACCTGTGGCTGCCGAAGTTCCGATCTCTTCATGGCAAGTGCTGCAGTCTCTACTTTACTTGTCTGGCTTTAACCTATTTACTGAATGTCGGCAGCATGTTTGGCGTATTTAAGCATACGACTGTCATTTGTTTCCTTGCCGGTAACTACTTAAGATTCCTGTTTAATTAAATATATAATTCTGTTTGAGGATTGCAGGGTATGCTGGCTATTTCATAGTGATGGCCACTTTTCTGTGGCTCTCAGTAATCAGTTTTGATGTTTGGAGGAGATTTGCCCGGCGTCGTGCCCAGGATTTTTACAAGAGCAATAGAAGCAGTTTCTTTAACTACAATATTTTCGTTTGGAGCTCTGCTGGACTTTTAACATTTATAATTTTTTTAGTGGATCTATTTGTGAAGACAAATTTAGAAAATCCATACAATCCGGCTGTGGGAGTGTTTTCATGCTGGATATATAGTAAGTTAAATATACATAAATAGGACATAATGCCTTAGATTTGTATTTTTTCAGCCGATGGATGGTCAGCAATGTTTTATTTTTACTTTCCATTGACAATTTTTATAATTCTTAACGGAACGATGTTTTTCCTAACAACACGATATATTTATGTGGAAAACAAAAGCATCCAGCAAGTGCTAAATAAACGCGAGCTGCAAAAAAAGTCAAGGAACCAAGCCAAGTACAAAGAAATATATTTTCTCTGATAAACCAAACTTATTGCCTTGCTTACAGTTATCGCGTTTATCTCCGCCTGTTTATCATAATGGGCGGAAGTTGGTTTCTCGAAATTATTGCCTTTATATGCGAGAGGGGAAGGGTTTTGAGTCCCCTGATCCTCCTAAACGACATCATAAACTGCAGTCAAGGGATGATACTATTTATGGCTACATTCTGCAATCAGGAAATGCTCAAATCAATTCGCAAGCGGTGGGTTTCCTGGCAATATATTTTCAACAATTTTTCTTATATTATTTCACTGTTTCCAGCATCCAAACCGGGAGAGTACGACCACTGATGTTGCCAGATCCCATGTCACTCCAGAGTCTGAAATAAAAACCCTGGTGGTATTAAGAAAATAAACTATTTTACGTTTCTGGGTTGTCTTATATTTACCAGCACTTCATTTTAGGACTTGAAAGTGGCTAAATAATATCTTGAAATATATTTATAATGTTTAATATTATCTTGAAACATTATTCCAAAGTTTGATTACAACTGAATATTTTCCCCTTAGGCGGGGGTTGACTCTAACTATATCGATACTTTAATTACTAGTACCGCATTTTGAAAGGTGTTGCTAACTAACTAATATTAAAGTTAATAGTTGAATCGAAGTCTCGAATATCAAAATTACCGTATTGTAAGTATGAGCGGAATCTTAAAACTAGATTGTAGATTACTTAAATGACTTCAGTCGAAATTAGGACGCGCTTCAACCTTCTGAAAAAGCGTTTCGTTGCACTAAGTAAGGTATAGGTAACTAAAGACTAAATACAGCACACGTTGTTTGTGTTTAGAACTGAACTAGAATCACGCAACCTTAGCGAGTTTTCAAAGAAATTGTTGTCATTAACGTAAAAGCTACCGAATTTGATAGTTATCGATTTCTAACGAATTTTGCAAAGTTTGTTAAATCCACAGGGCGATTACTTTTTTAACTGATAGCATTATAAAATTGTTGACTTCTGAATTAACAACTTTGCAGCTTTTACTATAATGAACAAATTTTCTTCTTTTAAACTAGTGTGTTTACATATGTAGTCTGTTAACAATGTGTTCACAGTGTCTCCTGGGGTGTGCGTTTTAAGTGGAACTCCACCATGTTGTCGAGATCACTGATGTACATCTTAGACTTTCGGATATCCGAATTGAGCACGCGCAGGTTCGAGGTATAGTTGGGCAGGTTAAGCCCCAAAGCTTGGGCCATTTCCTGGCCCATCTTCCTGGCCGCCTGGGCGAATGTGGGCCTAGCCTTGCCTAGTCGCTTCAGCGGGCTGAACTGCTCGTGCACCTCCTTGAGTTCGCCATAGTCTAGCACCTGCCACTGGCCGCTTTCCATGTTCCAGGTGAACAGGATGCGACACTCGTACTGTCTTTTGTGAAACGCACAGTCCATCCGACCGGTGCAATGCAAGCAGATCGCCAGCGGCTGATCACGCGCCGAGAACTGAGCCATCAGCATGCAGCCGATCGTCTGGCTCAGTGGACACACGCTGATCACTTCGTATGCCCAGTCGTAGAACACGTTGTAGATCTTCTGGTGCTTTTGGCACAGCAGGCTAATCACGTAGTAAGTAAAGGTTTCCAGGTCAAATGAGTGCTGGGTTATGACTACGCTACTGCACCGCAGCCGCTGATACGAGACCTGTGAGATCATCTGCATCTCCGAGTAGCAGGAGCCGTGCACCTCCATTGGGAGCGAGGTGTGATAGCCGGGCGATATGCAGTCGTCTGGGCATAGAACAGAATTCGATTTATTATAATACTCAATGTTTGTTAATATGATAGCTTACCCTCTTCGCTGGTAATGACTGAGGTTGCATCGTCCTCCTCTACGTAGCGCCGTCTTAGCTTCTTGGTGCATACCGGTTTCTCTGGCATAACACCACCCTGCACTGGCATCTCCACAATCCTGGGCTCATCGCGTCGCGGCGAAAGAAAAGACAGCCCGGCGTTTGGAGACATGGAACCGCCTATCTCGAACCGCTTGGCCAGGGACACCTGCAAAGGGGAGAGAGCTCCCAGCGGACCCACTGGTTTGTAGCTGAGCATTTGTTGCGTGGCCTGGGATAATGGCGGTGATTTCTGATTAAAGATCTGACCCGAATTTGCGTTCCGACTGGGCGAACGCATCAGCATGGAGCTTGATGGTGGCGAACGGAAGCCCAGATGCGGTGGCGTCTGTGCCGGCTGCGAGGGATGTGGCGAAGAGGATGGTGAGGCGCAGGGCGAGTTGTGAAAGAAGTGCGCCGTGGGCGAAAAGCGATGGAAACTGCGAGCTGAGGAGCTGGCGGTCGAGGCATTGAAGGCACGACCCGCCAATCGAACTTTGGTGAAGGGTATGATATTTTCCGAGTTGTCCTCCGAGAACTCGTACTTCTTCTCCGCCAGACGTCGTTTGCGGAATGTGGAGATCTTCTCGTACTTCTCATTATCCTCTGAGAACTCATAGGCATTTGATTTGTCCGTCATGGAACTGGAACTCGGCGGGCTCTGGGGGAGGAAAATTATTACTAATTTGTTTTGTTTTGTGTTCTTTTGGTATACTTTGAGATATTACACTCGATATTACATTAAATAATTAAAGACAAAGTAGGGGGCATAAATATTCTAACGCTTAAGTAATTTTCAACCCAACTTCTTTTTGGACAACCAACCTGCAGGTCAATAGTAGTGATGCCATTGCGAAACTTGGTGACTATTCGCTGGTTTCGCCTGCGTGGCGGACTAGCTTCGTTGGCAAGAGGCTTTGTTATCGGCAGCGTGGTCTCCGGCAGGGTCATGCTATTCAGGCCCGTCACCACCGTGGGACTGCAGTGTGGCGTGAAAATGAGCCTCTCATAAGCCTTTGGCGAACAGCAGACACTTCCCCCAGATTGCACCTCATTGTTGTTATTGTTAGAGGGATGACTAGAGCGCTGGGCCTGCTCGGTTTCAATGTCACTGAAGTCGGCTATGATCCTAGCCACGACACTCTGCTCATTTCCGGACTCCGCCTCCGAACCGGAGGCTGTAAAAACAGTTGAGCGATCCTCCTCGCTGGCCAACAGATTTCTGGGAAGCAAAAAGGACTGCGACTGCGGTGTCGATTGAAGACTAGGCAGAATGAGGCTCTGCTGGGAAGGGTAATTGCTGCCCGAGCTCGCGGCCGTCGTGTCAACATCAATGCGCAGCATGTGCATAAATCCATTAGAGATGATAAGAATTCGCTCCGGGCAGAGCAAATTGATTTTCGGCTCGAATTTCGGATCCGTTTCACTCGAGGAGTATTTGGTGTGCACAGTCAAGTGGCAGTTCAGGCAGTGTGCATTGTAAAAGGAATCTAGTGCGTGGAAAATGTAATGAACTTGTTAAGTTAATAAATAGCATTTGTAACACCTACATGGACCGTCGTCGTTGAGTTTCTTGCACTCCAAGCAACCCAGTTTAGGAACTTTAACATATGTAATATAGCTATCCTCGCCCTCCTCCGTGGCAGCACCATGGACCACTAGGATCTGGTGCTGCGTATTCTTCCATTGAGTCATACTAACAGTCTTGATGTTGTCCACAATATGATCGTCGAAGAGGCGGCGAGAGAAAAAGTGTCGCAGCCTCTTGTGGGGTTGGAACAGCCAGAAGTAGAGGCTAGTAGAAATTAAATATGATTATAGTTGAATTATTGTATAAAAATAAATAATATAAATGTCGTCCGTTTTGTTCAGCTCAGTAATAAGTTTATAACTCATTTGCATTTTAAAAATCAACATTTGGCAGGAGTACAGTATAAAAATAGGCAGAACCATCGAATCCAGCTTTCAGTTACTTGTACCTAGATACTTACGTGTATTTGTAGCCCATGTTGAATGAGTAGTGATTAAGCGAGGAGCTGTCATTGCAAACCACTCGATGGCTAAGCATATACTGACCGCAGGAAGTAAGACCCATAAAAATGTGTCTGTGGGGATATTCATGTGAGTGGTTGATTATTTCAAAACTGACTATGTTTACCCCTCCATCAAACTGCTGGCCAGCACATCCTTGAGGTATAACTTTAACCGATTTGGCACTCTGTCGTAAGGAAGCTGTTGCTTTTGTCCAGCCCTCGAGGACCCTGAGAAGTATCCAGTGCGCTAAGGGGAATTAATTACAGTGATGTTAGAGAAACATAGTTTAATGTCCGACCTTAATAGCTTATGAAAATGTGTTGCCTACCTCGGTGGTTTACTTCGATAATTTCATAATCAAGTAGAATACAAATCACTTTCTATTTGACTGTTTAACTTAAAAATAATAACATTTAATGATAAATAAAAAGGGGTTTTACATTCAACTAGTAATTATCTTACCAAATCCAAAAGAAACATTTATAAATATACAAAAGCTTAGATTATAGTCTTGCGCATGTCTTTTCTAATCCCTTTAACACCTTTTACCTATACATATATGTATCTTATAATCTATGCCACATGTACCTTTACACCTCAGAGTATAAATCAATCGCTATATCTTTCTGGTATTTCCATAAAGTTAACTTTAGACCTTGAACTAAAATGTTGACCCCCTTAGTTAATGGGGTTTGAAACACTTTTCTAACGCCTATCAGCGATTAATATGACTAAGTATTATATAAATACTATATATAGTTGCTGATAAGTCTCGAAAGCAAACCCACCTCCCTGTCGTAGAGCATCTGCACCAGATTCCGAGTCCTTGGGCCGAACGATGGCGTGGGAGTTGGCTCCTCCGAAGACTCGTCGGAGCTGTCCACCGTTGAGAAGTCGTCCTCGTCGGAAGACACGCCCGACAGCGACTCCACGTAGTTCTGGTAGTCAGTCTCCATATTCAGATCGCTAAAAATCAGACTTAATATATTCCTCCTACTGCCTTCCTCCTGAAAATTTGTGCAGCGTTCCGGCCGAAAAGCGGCAGTATCCTGCGTCCTAGTGCCTCCTCATCCGCTGGCTAGTGGAGGCTGTGGTGCTCATCGGACTCCGGCTCCCTTTGTCCACTGCCTGGGTGTTCCAAAATTACAGCATCATCGGTTTTTCGTTATAAATAAACCAAATTTTTGCAATAAAAAATATCTGTTTCGGTGTGACCGCTCTCGAATTTACCGTCCGGCTCAGGAAATGTACTAAACTATACCTTTGAATTCAATCAAAAAAACACCAGCGTTATCCAAGACCCTCACCAGGATCGCGGTTGTGGACCGTGCTAAATCCAAAGGACTATTGGACCAACGAAAGCAAGGATTCTCACCAGGTCAAATTGATATATCGATAATATTCGCCAATAAGGCGGTTTATTTAAATAACAGCATATGAACAGTGCTTTTAATATGAAATGTTTTTATATTTTTATTTTCAATAGTGTATTCAGATACAGTTTATATTGATACATGTTAAATTTAAATAATTTTAAATTTGTAATATTATAATTCATTTTATAACATATCTAGTTTAGTTCCACAGAAGTTGCCATTATTTGCACTTTGCAGTTTATATTGATGCATGTTAAATTTAAATAATTTTAAATTTGTAATATTATAATTCATTTTATAACATATCTAGTTTAGTTCCACAGAAGTTGCCATTATTTGCACTTCGAAAAAGAACATTATTTGTGATTTAAAAAAGAATGGAGTAGAATTTTACAATAACTTTTATTCTTTTTTAATCAAAAAAAATGAGGTGATATTTTCAAGAATAAAATAACCCCAAAACAAAGCCCCATTTGACCTAAAATACGCATGCTCTAAAACCTGTCAACGTGACTCCATGTTCATTGACCCTTAGGCGTATTTGTGGGTCAATTCGATTGCGGAAACCACCCGGGACCCCACTGTAACCCCCCAAAAACCGATCTTATAACTCATGCCGGGTTCAGTGCGCCGGAGTCTAGAATCTGAACAAAGTGCAGCCACAGAGAACCGTGAAGCGGGCTTCACAATTTTGGTAATTCGGCATAAAAATGTCGAGCATGCCAGCCAAACAGAAAGCCAAATGCAGGGCTCAGCTAATTTTGGCAATGGAAATTCGGGGCAGAACCGATCGCCGATCCACGATCGACCATCGAGCAGGAAACCTGATGCGCTGGCAGCGGCCATTGAACGACGCCGTGCTTATAAGAGCTCGATGGCCAACTCTCAGGTTTTAGTTCTGGAATAGTTCGTGTCGCGGTTGGTAAATCGGTGCTCCTCTTGGCCGCCTTGAATGGCCAGTTAAAAGTCCCAACAGTTAATTTGTGCAACACTGCCTCGGAACTTTGATCGCGCTCTGAATTTATATCGAGTTATCTAAGGAAATAGTAGCCGTGATTTTACCCAAGAATATTTCACATATCACAGTTGCTGTTTCTTTTAGATAGCTCTTTTGTAAGCAGCTTAGATTCGATTACGACTATCCGAGTGCTTTGGATGAATCCTGGAATTGAAGGGGACCCCGGTTTCAATTTATGGGATACACACAGTTCAGTTTTGTCACATTTCAAGCATCACTGGGCTTTGTTTATCTCATGAGAGCGAAATTTGTTCAACATGGGGCCATAGAAAGCACACACTCAAATAAAGTTAAGGAATTAAACTTAATTTCTGACCCAAGGTAAGGTAACTTAATATTTCTCAAACGAAATAAACTATGAAAAGATAGCTGTTAATAGAAAGTATTAAAAAACAGAAATTCAGAACTTCTATATGCATAATTTGGATCATCAAAATTCTGATTTTAAGTTGTGCATTTCTTTTTTAAGACTTTCCAGCCCATTAAATACTGTCCACACTAAAGAGTTCTAAGTACTTCCTTCAAAGAATTAAATTACTTAATCATTTTTTAATTGGATACCAAGAATAAGGTTTTTTTTTTATTGGTTTAACCAGGTTATGGAAGCACCACCACAAATTAAAAACTTAGGGTACTACAATTTACTGTGTAGAAATGCAAATGGAATATACAAAAATAAAAACATAATGAAAATTGGGTGCTTAAGAAAGCATCTTGCGGATCATGTAGTTGAGGATGCCGCCGTTCTTGTAGTAGGTAATGTCCACCTCCGTGTCGAAGCGCAGAATGGTCTCAAAGATGGTGCCGTCAGCCTGGAAAAGAGATAGTTAAGAGTATTATACCAATGTCCGGTAATACGGTGGCTCTGTAAATTACCTCGACCTGGATCTTCTGGCCCTGGCTTAAGACCGCTCTCGGGCAGAGCAATGTTGTACACCTCGCGGCCAGTCAGGTTCAGGGTCTCGGCACTCTGGCCCGGCAGGAACTGCAGGGGAATGATGCCCATGCCCACCAGGTTGGAGCGATGGATGCGCTCGTAGGACTCCGCAATCACGGCCTTCACGCCCAGCAGGAAGGGACCCTTGGCGGCCCAATCCCGGGAGCTGCCGCTGCCGTAGTCCTTGCCCACCACCAGGACCAAGGGAGTGCCCTCCTCGCGGTACCGCTCGGCAGCATCGAAGATGTCCAGCTCCTCCTGGCTGGGGATGTGCACGGTGCGGGGTCCGGTCTTCGTGACCAGTTTGTTGACCAGCCGAATGTTGGCGAAGGTGCCGCGCGACATGATGGCATCGTTGCCACGTCGCGATCCATAGGAGTTGAAGTCACGGGGCGTGATGTTGCGCTCCGAGAGGAATCGGGCGGCGGGCGAGGTCCTGGCAATGGAACCAGCCGGCGAGATGTGGTCCGTGGTCACGGAGTCGCCCAGGAAGAGCAGGCAGCGCGCCTTCTCGATGCTCTGCAGCTTGGGCAGGTCGCGGGTCATGCCCTCGAAGAAGGGCGGACGCTTGATATAGGTAGAGTCGGCGCTCCAGGAGAAGAGCTTGCCCTCGGACACCTGCAGTGTCTGCCAGTCCTGGGAGCCCAGCTCGATCTTGCCTGGAAAGGAGGGGCTATTCAAAAGGACATATCAAAAGGCAACATCTGGAGTACTCACTGTACACCTCCTGGAACATGGCTGGAATCACGTGCTTGTTCTCCACCTCCTGAATCTCCGATCGCGTGGGCCAGATGTCTTGCAGGAAGACGTTCTTTCCATCGGCATCCACTCCAAGCGGCTCCTTCTCGAAGTCAATGTCCACACGTCCTGCGATGGCGTAGGCGATGACCAACAGGGGACTGGCCAGATAGTTGGCCCGGGTGTTGGGATGGATGCGACCCTCGAAGTTACGGTTTCCGGACAGAACTCCAGCGCAGACGAGGCCATTCTTCTCGATGGTGTTCACAACATTCTCCTCGAGGGGACCGGAGTTGCCAATGCAAGTCATGCAGCCGTATCCCACAATGTCGAAGCCCAGCTTCTCCAGATAGGGTATGACTCCGGACTCCTTCAGGTAATAGGTGACCACTCCGGAGCCAGGCGACAACGAGGTCTTGATGTAGGGCAGGATGTTCAGGCCCTTCTCCACGGCCTTCTTGGCCAGCAGACCAGCGCCCAGCATCACCGAGGGATTCGAGGTGTTTGTGCAGGAGGTGATGGCCGCGATGACCACTGATCCATGCTGCAGCTTGTAGGTCTTACCATCGTCCCACTGGAACTCCCCAGAGGCGGACTGAGCCTCCGGAGTGATGGCGAAGCCCTTGAAACCCACCTGAGGTTGAGAGGAACAACTTTGTTATTCTATTCAATCAATTGCTTAAGTATGCAGTTACAACTTACTGGACTGGACAGGCACGACTTGAAATCCTCTGGCATGTCGGAGACAGAAACGCGATCGTGGGGACGCTTGGGACCCGAAACCGAGGTAACCACCGTCGCCAGATCCAAGGTGATGCTCTGCAGATGGGTTGCATATTAATAGGATTGGGTAGTAGAGAATGTGCTGTACCCACCTGAGTGAACTTCGGATCTTGGGCCTCATCAGCATAGTTGCGCAACTGCTGGGTTGCCTTCAGATACTGACGAATGATGTCGATCTTTTTCTCAGAGCGATCTGTAATGGGTTTCAAAATATAATCAATATGGTGATAAAGGGATTTAAAAGTTTTTCCTTACTTGTCTGCTTCATGTAACCAAGAGTGTTCTCATCGATGGGGAAATATCCCACGGTGGCTCCGTATTCCGGGCACATGTTACTGATGGTGGCCCTGTCGGCAATGCTGAGTTCCGCCACTCCAGGTCCATAGAACTCCACGAACTTGCCCACCACTCCCAACTGACGAAGGTGCTTGGTGATGGTCAGCACCAGATCGGTGGAGGTCACCAGTGGACTCAGTTTTCCCTCCAATTTGTAGCCAATAACCTCGGGCAACAACATGGAAATGGATTGTCCCAGCATCACAGCTTCCGCCTCGATCCCTCCGACTCCCCAACCCAAAACTCCCAGTCCGTTGATCATCGTGGTGTGGGAATCAGTACCCACAACACTGTCGGGGTACAGAATCTTTGAGCCATCGGTGGTGTCATTTTCGAACACCACGCGGGCCAAGTACTCCAGATTCACCTGGTGGACGATTCCAGAGCCAGGTGGCACGATCAGCATGTTGTTAAAGGCCTTGGCGCCCCACTAAGTAGGAAAAATGGTGTATTATAAGAAAACTCTTGAGAGTATAGAATAGGGAATCATACCTTCAGGAAGGTGAATCGCTCCTTGTTGCGCTCAAACTCCAAAGTCTGGTTCTTGGTCAGAGCATCTGGGATTCTGGCAAAGTCCACCTGAACCGAGTGATCGATGACCAAGTCAGCGGGGCAGATGGGATTGATTTTCTCGGGATCGCCGCCCAGATCCAAAACAGCATCTCGCATAGCAGCAAAGTCCACCACAGCCGGAACACCAGTGAAGTCCTTAAAACATGATATTCAATTATTTGAAATTTAAGTAATATATACATATGTATCTTTATATAGCTTACCTGCAGGATCACACGGGCTGGCTTGAAGGACACCTCCACATCGTTGGATCCCTGCTTGAGGGCCGGTGACCATCCCAAGATGCTCTGCACATCCTTCTCAAGGATATGGAAGTTATCGCAGTTGCGCACCGCTGACTCCAAGAGCACTCGAATCGAGTAGGGCAGCTGATCTATGAGTGGGACATAATAAAAATGTTAAGAGCTTCAATTTCATCACAACTACAGTAAAAACACTGTTAAGGAGATACCAAAAAAAAATAAAGTCCTCTTTTTATAAAAAAAAGAAACTTAACTTATTTTAAGGTGAAAATTAAAGCAAGCTATAACATATCATAACAAATACACAACGATTAGATTATTAAGTGGTATGATAAGAAGATAATATTTGCAAAGTCACGACTTATTTAACACATTTGAAAAGACCATTTATCAAAGAATTTGCTTAGTGTGCTTTGACAGCTAAATATTAGTTTATTTTTTTTCTCAAGCTACGGTAAAGTAAATTTAAATTAAAATAAAGGATTACTTTAACTAGATAAAAAATAAATTGCAAAACATATTTTTATATCATTGTGATAAGATTATAATTATTATGCAGCGTATCTTTTAATGTAACCAATCTGAAGCTTTTACAAAAAAACACTGTCAAAAATGTAATATTCATTTAAATAGATTTCCGTTAATAATTAGCAACTGTACTAATATATTGAAAATTACAAAGCCTGAATTTGTTCTAATTTCTGAAATGCACTCTAAAAAGAATTGCTTAAAATTGCTTTTAAACCATGAAAATTGTGCTACCTAGGGAGTTTCTATTGTAGCCAGAGATAGGAGGTACCTGTTATCAAAGCTACTATGATTGCGTTTGCCCGGCACTCGATGGGACTGATAGTACAATATAGGAGTAGCCATTAGAGAAAGCCCTCACCTCAGACCTCCGATTTCGGACACGCGCTGCTCTGATGAAAACATTCCACTGGTCTGGAGACATTTTGGAGGCATAAGCATCGGACCACGACCCCAAAAACATCAGATTTGAGTAGTTTTAATACGCTGATAAGTGGGCACGTAAGAAATGAATTAATATTGGGAGGCAAACGATTCGTTATCACCGGTAGACGAGCCCCATTATGAGGCAATCACTGGTGATAACTTTCGCTTTCGGCGGGAGACAAGCTTGCCTATATAGAAAACTATAGAAAAGCTACTTAAAGCTGAGCGAACACCTTCCAATTGACACTGCCAGACTTGCAAATTAAGGTGTTCGCCCAGTTTTTTAATTTTCGGGGTCAAACTCCAACTTCTACAGGTGCTTCTGTGGAATTCATTCCCAATTTAGCACTGCATGTTTACACTAATTAATATCCCACCACGTCGACAGAAACTCCCACTTTTTAGAGCCTTTTTTTTTGGGTAAAAGCCTGATCAAACTTACCATATTTGCTGTCGATGGAGGCGAGGTCAAAGTACTTGTAAGTTGTGCCGGCCTGCGAGAAAGTTTTCTCGAACTGAGCGAAGGGGTTGGCACCTGCGGGGGGAACGAAGGTGTTATATAAGCCACAGGATATTCGAAAGATAGTCCCAGGAACTGGAAATCCGGACTGTCAACCCACCTGACATCTTATTGGGACACTTTACTGAACTTATTCCGGACGAGCAAAGCAAGAAACTGATTGGAGAAGCGAGTCGGATTGGAACTGGCCTGCCTTTGATATGTATCGATATACCTAGCGATGGCAGATCGGAGGTACATTTTTGTGCCCGCGTACTTTAAATGTAGCGGTGGAAACTAATATATATGTTACTGAGAATTTTCATTGTAATGAATTTATTAAATAAGTTTAAAAATAATAATAGTTTCAACTATTACTCAATTCTCCTCTCTGCTCTAGACGATTTGTATGTTATAAATTAGTGTAGATCAGACGAAAGAGCTAAATAATAACACAGATCGCGAATATTACAATGAAATCCCCTTTCTATTTTGTAAAATATGTTGGAAATAAGCTTTGATTACTTTTATATTAAGTTACTCTTTTACCAGGCATCGGAAAATTAGAAATAACTAACATGAAAATGGGTCAAAAATTTGACCAACGGTAAATTGAAAATTTTGAATGCAGATTTTTAGAGAATGAAATCACAAGTCTTTAGAGGTATGCCACTTTGGAATCGGCTTAAGTTTGTAAAAGTTATGGACTCACGAAGTCCAATTTTGAGTCACTCTTTTACAAGACATCGGAAATTAGAAATAACTAACATGAAAATTGGTCAAAAATTTGACCAACGGTAAATTGAAAATTTTGAATGCAGATTTTTAGAGAATGAAATCACAAGTCTTTAGAGGTATGCCACTTTGGAATCGGCTTAAGTTTGGAAAAGTTATGGACTCTCGAAGTCCAATATTAAGTCACTCTTTTACAAGACATCAAAAAATTAGAAATAACTAACATGAAAATGAGTCGAAAATTTGACCAACGGTAAATTGAAAATTTTGAATGCAGATTTTTAGAGAATGAAATCACAAGTCTTTAGAGGTATGCCACATTGAAATCGGCTTAAGTTTGGAAAAGTTATGGACTCTCGAAGTCCAATATTGAGTCACTCTTTTACAAGACATCGGAAAATTAGAAATAACTAACATGAAAATGAGTCGAAAATTTGACCAACGGTAAATTGAAAATTTTGAATGCAGATTTTTAGAGAATGAAATCACAAGTCTTTAGAGGTATGCCACTTTGGAATCGGCTTAAGTTTGGAAAAGTTATGGACTCTCGAAGTCCAATATTAAGTCACTCCTTTGCAAGTCATCGGAAAATTAGAAATAACTAACATGAAAATGGGTCAAAAATTTGACCAACGGTAAATTGAAAATTTTGAATGCAGATTTTTAGAGAATGAAATCACAAGTCTTTAGAGGTATGCCACTTTGGAATCGGCTTAAGTTTGGAAAAGTTATGGACTCTCGAAGTCCAATATTAAGTCACTCTTTTACAAGACATCAAAAAATTAGAAATAACTAACATGAAAATGGGTCAAAAATTTGACCAACGGTAAATTGAAAATTTTGAATGCAGATTTTTAGAGAATCGAATCACAAGTCTTTAGAGGTATGCCACTTTGAAATCGGCTTAAGTTTGTAAAAGTTATGGACTCTCGAAGTCCAATATTAAGTCACTCCTTTGCAAGTCATCGGAAAATTAGAAATAACTAACATGAAAATGGGTCAAAAATTTGACCAACGGTAAATTGAAAATTTTGAATGCAGATTTTTAGAGAATGAAATCACAAGTCTTTAGAGGTATGCCACTTTGGAATCGGCTTAAGTTTGGAAAAGTTATGGACTCTCGAAGTCCAATATTAAGTCACTCTTTTACAAGACATCAAAAAATTAGAAATAACTAACATGAAAATGGGTCAAAAATTTGACCAACGGTAAATTGAAAATTTTGAATGCAGATTTTTAGAGAATCGAATCACAAGTCTTTAGAGGTATGCCACTTTGAAATCGGCTTAAGTTTGTAAAAGTTATGGACTCTCGAAGTCCAATATTAAGTCACTCCTTTGCAAGTCATCGGAAAATTAGAAATAACTAACATGAAAATGGGTCAAAAATTTGACCAACGGTAAATTGAAAATTTTGAATGCAGATTTTTAGAGAATGAAATCACAAGTCTTTAGAGGTATGCCACATTGAAATCGGCTTAAGTTTGGAAAAGTTATGGACTCTCGAAGTCCAATATTAAGTCACTCCTTTGCAAGTCATCGGAAAATTAGAAATAACTAACATGAAAATGGGTCAAAAATTTGACCAACGGTAAATTGAAAATTTTGAATGCAGATTTTTAGAGAATGAAATCACAAGTCTTTAGAGGTATGCCACATTGAAATCGGCTTAAGTTTGGAAAAGTTATGGACTCTCGAAGTCCAATATTAAGTCACTCTTTTACAAGACATCAAAAAATTAGAAATAACTAACATGAAAATGGGTCAAAAATTTGACCAACGGTAAATTGAAAATTTTGAATGCAGATTTTTAAGAGAATGAAATCACAAGTCTTTAGAGGTATGCCACATTGAAATCACATTTATATTAAGTTACTCTTTTACCAGGCATCGGAAAATTAGAAATAACTAACATGAAAATGGGTCAAAAATTTGACCAACGGTAAATTGAAAATTTTGAATGCAGATTTTTAGAGAATGAAATCACAAGTCTTTAGAGGTATGCCACTTTGGAATCGGCTTAAGTTTGTAAAAGTTATGGACTCACGAAGTCCAATTTTGAGTCACTCTTTTACAATACATCGGAAAATTAGAAATAACTAACATGAAAATGGGTCAAAAATTTGACCAACGGTAAATTGAAAATTTTGAATGCAGATTTTTAGAGAATGAAATCACAAGTCTTTAGAGGTATGCCACATTGAAATCGGCTTAAGTTTGGAAAAGTTATGGACTCTCGAAGTCCAATATTAAGTCACTCTTTTACAAGACATCAAAAAATTAGAAATAACTAACATGAAAATGAGTCGAAAATTTGACCAACGGTAAATTGAAAATTTTGAATGCAGATTTTTAGAGAATGAAATCACAAGTCTTTAGAGGTATGCCACATTGAAATCGGCTTAAGTTTGGAAAAGTTATGGACTCTCGAAGTCCAATATTAAGTCACTCTTTTACAAGACATCGGAAAATTAGAAATAACTAACATGAAAATGAGTCGAAAATTTGACCAACGGTAAATTGAAAATTTTGAATGCAGATTTTTAGAGAATGAAATCACAAGTCTTTAGAGGTATGCCACTTTGGAATCGGCTTAAGTTTGGAAAAGTTATGGACTCTCGAAGTCCAATATTAAGTCACTCCTTTGCAAGTCATCGGAAAATTAGAAATAACTAACATGAAAATGGGTCAAAAATTTGACCAACGGTAAATTGAAAATTTTGAATGCAGATTTTTAGAGAATGAAATCACAAGTCTTTAGAGGTATGCCACTTTGGAATCGGCTTAAGTTTGGAAAAGTTATGGACTCTCGAAGTCCAATATTAAGTCACTCTTTTACAAGACATCAAAAAATTAGAAATAACTAACATGAAAATGGGTCAAAAATTTGACCAACGGTAAATTGAAAATTTTGAATGCAGATTTTTAGAGAATCGAATCACAAGTCTTTAGAGGTATGCCACTTTGAAATCGGCTTAAGTTTGTAAAAGTTATGGACTCTCGAAGTCCAATATTAAGTCACTCCTTTGCAAGTCATCGGAAAATTAGAAATAACTAACATGAAAATGGGTCAAAAATTTGACCAACGGTAAATTGAAAATTTTGAATGCAGATTTTTAGAGAATGAAATCACAAGTCTTTAGAGGTATGCCACTTTGGAATCGGCTTAAGTTTGGAAAAGTTATGGACTCTCGAAGTCCAATATTAAGTCACTCTTTTACAAGACATCAAAAAATTAGAAATAACTAACATGAAAATGGGTCAAAAATTTGACCAACGGTAAATTGAAAATTTTGAATGCAGATTTTTAGAGAATCGAATCACAAGTCTTTAGAGGTATGCCACTTTGAAATCGGCTTAAGTTTGTAAAAGTTATGGACTCTCGAAGTCCAATATTAAGTCACTCCTTTGCAAGTCATCGGAAAATTAGAAATAACTAACATGAAAATGGGTCAAAAATTTGACCAACGGTAAATTGAAAATTTTGAATGCAGATTTTTAGAGAATGAAATCACAAGTCTTTAGAGGTATGCCACATTGAAATCGGCTTAAGTTTGGAAAAGTTATGGACTCTCGAAGTCCAATATTAAGTCACTCCTTTGCAAGTCATCGGAAAATTAGAAATAACTAACATGAAAATGGGTCAAAAATTTGACCAACGGTAAATTGAAAATTTTGAATGCAGATTTTTAGAGAATGAAATCACAAGTCTTTAGAGGTATGCCACATTGAAATCGGCTTAAGTTTGGAAAAGTTATGGACTCTCGAAGTCCAATATTAAGTCACTCTTTTACAAGACATCAAAAAATTAGAAATAACTAACATGAAAATGGGTCAAAAATTTGACCAACGGTAAATTGAAAATTTTGAATGCAGATTTTTAAGAGAATGAAATCACAAGTCTTTAGAGGTATGCCACATTGAAATCGGCTTAAGTTTGGAAAAGTTATGGACTCTCGAAGTCCAATATTAAGTCACTCTTTTACAAGACATCAAAAAATTAGAAATAACTAACATGAAAATGAGTCGAAAATTTGACCAACGGTAAATTGAAAATTTTGAATGCAGATTTTTAGAGAATGAAATCACAAGTCTTTAGAGGTATGCCACATTGAAATCGGCTTAAGTTTGGAAAAGTTATGGACTCTCGAAGTCCAATATTAAGTCACTCTTTTACAAGACATCGGAAAATTAGAAATAACTAACATGAAAATGAGTCGAAAATTTGACCAACGGTAAATTGAAAATTTTGAATGCAGATTTTTAGAGAATGAAATCACAAGTCTTTAGAGGTATGCCACTTTGGAATCGGCTTAAGTTTGGAAAAGTTATGGACTCTCGAAGTCCAATATTAAGTCACTCTTTTACAAGACATCAAAAAATTAGAAATAACTAACATGAAAATGGGTCAAAAATTTGACCAACGGTAAATTGAAAATTTTGAATGCAGATTTTTAGAGAATCGAATCACAAGTCTTTAGAGGTATGCCACTTTGAAATCGGCTTAAGTTTGTAAAAAGTTATGGACTCTCGAAGTCCAATATTAAGTCACTCCTTTGCAAGTCATCGGAAAATTAGAAATAACTAACATGAAAATGGGTCAAAAATTTGACCAACGGTAAATTGAAAATTTTGAATGCAGATTTTTAGAGAATGAAATCACAAGTCTTTAGAGGTATGCCACATTGAAATCGGCTTAAGTTTGGAAAAGTTATGGACTCTCGAAGTCCAATATTAAGTCACTCCTTTGCAAGTCATCGGAAAATTAGAAATAACTAACATGAAAATGGGTCAAAAATTTGACCAACGGTAAATTGAAAATTTTGAATGCAGATTTTTAGAGAATGAAATCACAAGTCTTTAGAGGTATGCCACATTGAAATCGGCTTAAGTTTGGAAAAGTTATGGACTCTCGAAGTCCAATATTAAGTCACTCTTTTACAAGACATCAAAAAATTAGAAATAACTAACATGAAAATGGGTCAAAAATTTGACCAACGGTAAATTGAAAATTTTGAATGCAGATTTTTAGAGAATGAAATCACAAGTCTTTAGAGGTATGCCACATTGAAATCGGCTTAAGTTTGGAAAAGTTATGGACTCTCGAAGTCCAATATTAAGTCACTCTTTTACAAGACTAACATGAAAATGGGTCAAAAATTTGACCAACGGTAAATTGAAAATTTTGAATGCAGATTTTTAGAGAATCGAATCACAAGTCTTTAGAGGTATGCCACTTTGAAATCGGCTTAAGTTTGTAAAAGTTATGGACTCACGAAGTCCAAATTTGAATCACTCTTTTACAAGACATCGGAAAATTAGAAATAACTAACATGAAAATGGGTCAAAAATTTGACCAACGGTAAATTGAAAATTTTGAATGCAGATTTTTAGAGAATCGAATCACAAGTCTTTAGAGGTATGCCACTTTGGAATCGGCTTAAGCTTGGACTCTAGAAGTCCAATTTTGGGGTCAACGTTAAACAACTCATCGGAAAATTAGAAAATGAAAATGGATCAAAAGTTTGATCAGCGTTAAGTTGAAAATTTTGAATGCAGATAATAGTCGACCGATCCGGCTTGTACCTGCAATAGGCAACTTTCGGGAAAGTTTCAAACAGATAGCTTTAAAACTGAGGGACTAGTTTGCGTAACAAAAGGACGGATGGACAGACGGACTTGGCTTGATATTTATACTTATGGGGTCGGAAATGTCTCCTTCACTGCGGTGCAAACTTTTGACTGAAATTATAATACCCTCTGCTAATGTATAATTTACAGAATATATTAGTTATAGAACCACATTCAAATTTAAAATAATATTTTTCCCGCCAAAGTTCGTAGAAATCGATTGTTAGCTGGCCTTCGATTTTTCGATTAAGAAGTTTTATACCGTCTTCCAATACTGGCATTTTAGCGGCATTGTTTTTACACGCGCACGTTGTTTTCTTTAAATTTTCCAAAATAAAATGAATTTACCTGCGAAAGTGGACGTTGAAAAGGACAAGCTGCGTCAGATGCACTGCGAATTTAATCCTTTGTCGCGATGCGATGGTTCTGTAATGTACAGCCAGGGTATGCCGGAGTTGATTACTAGTATTTGGCCAGAATCGGCTAAGAAGTCTTGCCAATTTCAGGTGCCACAGTAGTTATAGCCGCAGTTCTAGGCCCGATCGAGGTGAAGACCCAAAACCTGAGTATAGACGGCAGCTACTTGGAGTGCAACTACCGGCCGAAAGCGGGACTTCCCCAGGTTAAGGAGCGGATTCGCGAGGCGGCCGTTCGGGATGTCCTGGAGTTGGCGCTCCTGGCTGAGGCCCATCCGCGTTCCAAGATGTCCGTGCAGATCCAGGAGCTGGAAGATCGCGGCAGCGTATGCACCACAGCTACACTTAGTCCTAAAACTTTATAATGATGGTTATTCCCACCAACAGATTGATGCCTGTGCCGTGAACTCCGCTTGTCTAGCCATGCTCATTGGCGGCCTGCCCCTAAAAAGCAGCTTTGCGGCCGTCCACTGCATCATCAACGAGCAGGGGGACTACATACTGGATCCAGATCAAAGTGAAACACTCCACCAGCGTGCCAGCTTCACCTTCGCTTTCGATTCTGTGGAAGGAAACCTGCTCCTGGTGCAGACAAAGGGAGCCTTCAAAATAGCCCAATTTAACGACATCGAGTGCCTTTGCCGGGCGGCCAGTGCGGATATCTTCCAGTTCTATCGCAGCCAGATAGCGAAGTATCACGGCAGAAGCGAGGCGATAGCAGAGAAGAAGAAAGATGAGTCCTCCTCCATGGAGACGTGATGGGAGAACAACCAGAGACTAGGTACGATTAAAGTTCGTTTTATTGTATAAATTGTCGCCTATGGAAGTCAGTTATACTGCTCAATTCGAGGGGAGTGCCCTTGAGCACCTGGGAATTCGATTCCTCAATGCGTACCGTCACAAAGTCACCTACTCCAAAGGATCGGCTAGTTCTGAAATCTCCAGTAATGGGCAAATCCATGGCAGGAACGATCACCTTGATATTGGCATCATTGCGACCAAACCAGTGGGCATCCGAGCGCTTGCTCTTGCCTTCTATGAGGATCAGTTGCTCCTGGCCCTCCATTTTGCGATGTAACCGGGTAGCTCCCTCTCGAAAAGCCTGCACCATCCGCTGCAGTCGCGCGTTCTTCACACTTAATGGCACATCGTCCTTGTAGCGACGATGGGCTGTGGTCTTTTCCCGCATGCTGTAGGCGAACAAGTAGGCCACATTGTACTGCACTTGCTCAATTAGGGATACGGTGTCCTCGAACTCCTCCTCCGTTTCTCCGCAAAAGCCGCAGATGAAGTCACTGGATAGGCCCACGTTGGGTAGGATTTGCCTGATGTGCTGCACAAGTTCCAGATAGGCTTCTCTGCTGTAACCACGTCGCATCCTATCCAGAACTTGCGTGTTGCCCGATTGCGCTGGCAAGTGCAGTTGCTTACACACATTTGGGTATTCTTTTATGACCTTTAGCACTTCGTCCGAGAAATCTTTTGGGTGCGGCGAGGTAAAACGGATGCGCATCTCGGGGACAGCTTGAGCAACGGCTCGGAGTAACTCTGCAAAGGGAGTGCCACCAGTTTTGGGCTTGTAAACGGTGCTGAAACCAGGAACCGGGGTGGCATTCAGGGAATCTTCTCTCTCCTGTGCACTCCTGTCCCTGTACGAGTTGACATTCTGACCCAGCAGGGTAACCTCCTTAACGCCCTGCTCCTCCAAAGCCTTGACTTCGGCCACAATTGATTCCAGCGGTCGGGAACGCTCGCGTCCACGGGTGAAGGGTACTATGCAGTAGGTACACATATTGTCACATCCCCGCATAATGGACACGAAAGCTGTGGGCGATTCTGAGTTCAGCCTCACCGGCATCACATCCGCATAGGTCTCGTCCAGCGAAAGGAGCACATTGATGGCGGAGTTGCCATAATGCCGGGAGATGGCCAGGAGTCGGGGCAAATCCTTGTAGCTATCCGGTCCGGCGATCACGTCCACACATTGCTCCTGCTCCAGTAGCTTCTCCTTTAGTCGCTCCGCCATGCATCCAAGCAGCGTTAGCTGGAGCGGATGTTTCCGCGGGCTGCGTTTATTCTTCATGGCCCGCAGGTGCTTCAGTCGGTTCCATATCCTCTGCTCCGCTCCATCGCGCACCGCACAGGTGACCAGCATGATGACATCCGCCTCCTCGGGCTCCTGGCATCTCAAGTAACCACTTTTCTGGAGAATACTCCACACCACCTCTGTGTCATTCGTGTTCATCTGGCAGCCATAGACCTCAAAGTGCACTTTCCGGTCATTTCCATTGAAATCGATGGAGTTGAGGTAGGGCACACTGGTGTCCACATGCTCTTCCTCATTGAGTTTCAGTCTGGAAGCGGGTTTGACCGTAAAGAAGTCCTGGAATCCCGGTCCCCGCTCAATCCTCTCCAGAAATGTGGCACGCGCTGCTGGATCCGTTTTTGTTTCATCGGTACGAGTGGATGACACCGATGCAGGAGCGGATGTAGCTCCTTTGGAGGCAGTGGTGGAGGCATGCCGCACCGTCACTGGGAGTCGTCTTCTCCACATGGTCCTCCACGGCCACGTTACTGCAATTGCACGACCGGTCATGTTTTAACTCATTTATTCCGGCTTAACTTTTATAGAACTCTAGTAGCAATAGCTTCTAGTTTTAACTTTAAGTTAGCATTATATAAATAAATAAATAAAGTTTTGGAGGAATAGTCTAATAGTTAAACAGCTGATCAAGCAGTGTCGAAAATTTCCGTTGTGTTAAGTTGGACGATCCGGCAGCACTTCATCTGCTACTTAGTTTAGTGTTGTAAACTACACGCCACCTGGCGGCCAGCGGCGGGATGGCTAGTTCGGAATTAACCCGCTAGTCTTATTAGGAAACGTTTTGAATTTTAATTTCAAAGCGCCAAATAAAAATACAATATTTTATTAACAAATTTTTGTCTGTTATATATTTTTTATTTAACTATAATATATAAATATATATATTTGTTGCTTTATATGGATTATTAATTATAATTGTCACTCAAATTCAATTATTTATGATATATTTTAGCTTGTCAACATTTTTGAGAGATTAACACTATCGTACAAAGTGAAGCATAATTAAGTCTTTAAGACGCTTTATACATTACGGAGAATGCATATGTCTTCCTGCCCAGATAAACACGCAAAAGGACTATGTCCGGCCGCACATTTGGGGACAGGCTGGCAAAGTCGGTTCAGCCGTAAGAAATTAGCTCGGCCTCATTATGAGCTTATCGTGGTCGGGTTAATAATGCACAGGTGAAGACAATGCAATTGCTGGAACAACAAATTCATCGCCTCCGTCTGCGTATGCTCCTGCTTCTGATTCCGTTCCTCTGCCGACGCTTTGCGGCTTTGTGGGTCAATAACTGAATAATTGCATTGCCACCGAGTGTGGGCCGTAAATAGAGCCAAATTCGTCGGTAGCAGTCCTCAGTAGATAATTTACCCGATTTAAATTACTTAAGCTTATACACAAAAGTAGTAGTCCAATATGTTAATTCTTTTAAAACTTGTTTAATTCATGTTTAATATATTAAAGAAATCGAGGAAGTTCTAAAAATATATATATTTTAATTTTTAAAATTTTTAAAAAGTGCTATATATTGTCCGCATCTTTGACTTTTTTGTTATTAACTTTCAATATCAAATGTTTTCAACCAAATTCTTCAGGTCTTTTTCGATCTCCAACTATAAACGTTGACTGTGAATGGTTGGATTGGATATAGAAAGAAAATCGGGAGCGGGAGAAACCAAGCACACATATTTTGTAAACACTTACAAGCAGAAATATTTTAATGAAAATTAAATGAAAATTCCACTTTCGGCCAAAAGAATTTCGTAATTACAGCGAAAAAATTCGGTAATTAAATTCATGAAGTTTCTGGCTCGAAGGCGGCGAATCCGGAGGGAGCAGCCACTTGGGTGGTTCCCTGGCACTCGCATCCTTGTAAGTGGGTCCTGGTCGTGGTCCTGGCCTGCTGGCTAAAGGCCTTCTGCTTTCCGCGTTCTGTTGGTTAAGCATTTTCTTGTATTTTGTCGGCACTTTTCCGCTAAAGTTATTTTCCCATGAGTTTTCCCTCTAGTCCGCTGCTATAAATCTTGCAGCTCGGTTGTGGGGATGGAGTTGTGTGCTCCAAAAAGGGAAAACTACATATATTGTGAGGGGGGGGATGGACCTTTACTGGCTTGTGCATACGAGGAGCAGCTTAAGCTCAGAACTAGTTGGCCAGGACTTACATCTCGAGGAAACTGTCAATAAATAATAAATAATTCAATTGTACTAATGCGTTCTATATTTAGTGGTAGCAATTAATCCGACAATTCGACTGGGAAACACGCTCTTGACAGTTGACAATTTGTGCGAGCTTTTAAACCGAATAGAGTAAATGGTTTGTGGTGGGAAACATTTGAACTGCGAAATAACTAAGTAAATAAATTTGTTCTTCTTAGGAGATTTACTCAGGAATTAAAATCATAAAGTGATTTTAAATCAGAAAAACAATCATAATCATAAATGGAAAAGATTAGCAAAATTGTAACAAATCATTTTGGAAAAAACATTGGAATTCCTATTGACGATTAATAATAATTATTGATTATAAATATTTTGTTTGTTAAATCAAGTCAAGTTTTGTTTAGCCAAGTGTATATATATAAGGTTTGCTTTAAAATAAACACAGTACTGAAAGATATTAAATATATATGATTTGTAAGTTACTTTAAAATATTTTGAAATTTTAGATCAAGAAAATATTAACCTTATCCTTAGCTCTATTCGCTTTCGCAGTTCAACTGTCCGCTAACCCTCTTAAGCCTCATGCAAATAGAAGTTCGAATGTGCGTTTAAATCCCCCTGAGCCTCACCTTCGAGAAACCTTCGTCAACCTGACCCCCTGGTCCAATCCCCATCCCCCGAATCCCACTGAAGACCCACCAAACCCACGAACGACACTTTGAGGCCCCATAACGCGGGCACACGCATAATGATCCGTTGAATGGCTCAATGCGTGGCACCGCTCCAGCTTACGATTTATTTTCGGAAAACCAGTTTTCCCACCCACCAGCTTACAGGCGGTGGGGCGTCGTTAACGGCTCTGCGGAGAGTAATTTTCCCCACGCAGAGACAAAAAAAAAGAGACAAAGAAAGGCAAGCCAATGTTAATAGAAAATGGTTCGTTGTCGTCGTCTTGGTTGTCGTTAAATTGAAATTGTCGCGGAAATAAAAATTTGCATATTTTAGCATTGATTTCCCCATTTCCCCCAGGGATCCCTGTCGTATGCGCAACGCTGTAGTGCACTCCATAAATTGTGTTGTCTTAAACTTATTTTAAAATTGATTTCATTAGACTTTGGTTTTATTTTGCATATCAAAAGCTAAATTATAATTGATATTTACATTTTATTTAATTTATACTTATTTTCTCTAACTTATTTTAAGGGTTATATAATTCCAAAAAAATTAATACAATACTTTTACGTTTTTATGATACTTGGTGATATATTTTATTCATGTTTTTTTGTTCATTCTTTAAAATTGAATAAATGAGAATTACTTGTATATCAGCGATTTATTGATGAAAACCTGGTTTTAAAATATATTGTTTTTAATACACTGTGTAATTTAATTTTAAAAAATGTATTTTTAGGTAACTCTGTGTATGCACTCAATAAATTTGCTTGAGCTGCGAGAATTGCGCAAATTAATTACGGGCGAGTGCATAAACTAAACAAAATCCAATGACCAAACAGTGAGAGGGGGTTCCGAGGGGATAGTGTCCTGTGTCTCTCATTACTGAATGCCAGTTCCAGTTGCTGTCTCTAGTAAATCCTGACGCTGTCACAATAAAATCCACTCAAGCTAAACATACGTCAGCAGTGACGAGCCTTGGTCCTGGCCCCGACTTTCGGACATTGCTTTCAGCCTGAGTTCGAGTCCTAGTCCTAGTCCTAGTCCGAGTATGAGTTCGAGTACGAGTCCGAGTCCTGGCCAAGTCGCACAAATTTATGCCCCAGAAAAAAAGGCAATCTCCTCCTCTTTGGCGCTGGCAGTGACTCCGAGGCGCAGGATATAATACCAAACTGCTCATTGATTTATTTACGAGCTCCACTGATGGGCCAGCTGCCCAAGGACTAAGGGGCGTGGCCGGTGGGTAGCTGCAGCAACTGATGCAGGCCAGGGATGCAGAGATTTGGTACTCATCGAAAATAAAACTATTTTTTATTATATTTTAATATTCTACTAACTCTTAGTAAAATATGGATAAATGTCGGATTGAAAAGAACAGAGTTTTTAATTATAAATTTATTCAGCCAACAAATTATAAATTCTAATTACAAAATGTAATATAAACAAGCATCTAATTACTTTGCTTCCGACTTCTTATTTTAATACATCGGAATTTAAAAAAAAATTATAATTGAAATTAAGATCTATAAGATTCTGTTGTATGTGACAAACAAATAGTGAAAAGAATGTTTGATACTTTGGTAACTTCATCCTGTTAATTTTTCTCCGAAAGCTTCGACTTTGCATCCCTGCCTCACAAATTGCAGCTAAATTCTCGCTTTTCTCGACTGCCACTGGACATGCTGCCATCTTCCATCGCTTTGCCCCCCGTTCCCATTTTCTTTGTCCTGCGACTGTGACTTACATAAAGTGTCCTCGACTTGGCCAAGTCGAGTCATTTAGGCGCAGGTCGTAGATCTTCCAAAGCAATGGCTTTTGACACCCAATGTGAGCCTGGTCCTGATGGTCCGAACTGCTCTTGCGCTTAAATATTTACGCCGCCAGACCAGCGATGGCTTTAAGGATCTGGATACTGGATACTGGGTCCTTCGGCTGCCTGCGGTGTTTGCTGGTAATTTCCATTGTCACGTGGCGGTAATTACCGGTGTTGCAGACACAAACACAGATGCAGACACGCGGGCAGACACAGACATTGAGTCAGTCATGGCCGTGGCTTTGAACTGCACACGCCAGCACTGGAAAAAATTATATTAGGTTCAGTAAAATATTGTCAAGAGAGGCAGCTACATTTGTATAAAATACCAAAAAATATAAGTCATATATGATATCCTTCCAATTTGCTATTTAATAAGATAAAAACATATTTTCCGGTACAATATTTTACAATTCAAGACTAGGTAAAAACTTTTATGAATGCTATGTTATTCTTTATAAAAAAAATGATAAAAAAGTGTTTAATTTATGGACCAAACTCTGGATTTTAAATTATCTTTCGAATGCATCTAATAAGCACTCAAATTTACGAAGACAAATTGCACATAATAACAATTTTTGTTTGCTAAATAAAAAATGCATTTTTTATAGCAAACATTTTGGGTTTTAGAAACCCTACTTTTAGGCACAGTGCAGCCACACTCGAATTTCTCCGTCTGTATATGTACGTCTGTTGATTTGTCTGTGTGTGTGTGTGTGTGTGTGGGCCATATCCTGTGGCGTCGCGACGCGCTTTACAATTTCAATTCATTGAATTTTAACAGCGCCTGCAGCGTCCTTGTGCCTGCCAGCCAAGTTAACCGAAAGTTTGTAAAACGTTATGTGCAACATTTGCAGGGCAAGGACATGGGGGCTTCGGGGGAGGGATATACAGGGGCTGTAGTCCTGATCCCGGACGAGGTCCATTGTCAATGGCTTCGTGCAGGTCGGCCGCTGATATTAAAACGTGTTTTATCACCCGCCGCCATT